AAATTTATTTATATCCCGCCCCTTTGGAATCAATCGGGGCGGCTAACAACAATAAAATACACATACAGCAATAAAATCAAATTTCCACCCACCCCCTTAAAAAGTTATTAAATCAAATAATAAGTTAAAACATACTATAAAAATAAGCAACAAGGTTAAAACAATCTATATATAATGTGGCTGCGGTTCTTATTTACATGATAAGCCAACCTAGAATTCTTGAGGCTGGGAGTATCTATTCCGGAAAGGCCTGCCAGAAGAGATCAGCCTTGACAGCCTGTTGAGGGCTTTTGCATCCAAATAAAAAAGGGATTGGGCAGTGAAACAGGCTGCCTCAAGGGGTGGTTTGCATTCATTTACTGAAAATATTTAAGCAGAGGCTGGATGGCCATTGTCAAAGATACTGTAGTTGTATCCTGCATTGTAGACCCATCATGAAAAATCAAAAACTGGACTAGATCAACCTTCCCTGTGCTAGGTGGGATGTTGGTATTTGTAGTCCAACATATCTGGAGGGCAGCAGGTTGATGAAGGCTGGATTCAATGGCCTCAAACATCACTTTGAAATCTATGATCATGTGATTTAAAAATTATTTGAAGAAGATCTTAGTCATAAGATGTTTGATCTTATGATGTTCTTGAGGTCTTAGATTTCTAGTTCTCATTGTTAATAGAAACTTTCCCTCTTTCATTTCTGGTTTTCTATTTTTGGACATTGGTTTGCTTCTAATGTTCAGCCTCAATTTTAATGTGAGGAAAGCAAATTCTCCTCTTGATTAAAAATAGGTAGAAAATAAAGTATTTGCAGAAGCAGCCCTACCAAGGCAAAATGAGAAAGCCACGTCAAACAGCATAATTTGGTCTGCACTGCTAAGGATTCTGTATGGTGTCATAGAGGAATGTCTGCATGATCTCTGCAAACTAGTCATTTTTCTGAAAATACAGATTCCCCAGTATGATTGGCGTCTTGTTGGTGAATGATGTAACTTGCAACTCACTTTTTAAGTCACTGCAGAAGTCAGAATCCTATTACAATGACATAACAAACAAACAAACAACTCTGCCACAAACCCTCCTTGTAAGCAGTGCAGCCCCCCCACCACTACCCAATTTCCATGTTGTCAAAGAGTGAGGAGATGAATGAGAATGTGTCCAGCTATTTTCCTATTGCTGGAGGTGTTTCAAAGAAACCTTCAAAGGACCCCAGAGATCCCCATGGAAGGCTGTAGCAGCACATCTAGCTACAGGAAAATATCAAGATGTGTCCCTACTGGTCCCTTCCTCACCCTATGATAACATAGAAATATTCATGTGTGGAGTGCTTTGGTTTACTGCCTACAAAGAGGTAGCTATGGAGATGTAACTATGTGATACATGTATATTCCCAGTGCATAGTATTGACTTATTTATCTTTACAAAGTATGGGCCTGTCATTTGAAAGCATAGGATTTTTCTTCCATTGTTTTATACATGGCAGCCTGGTGGTATGGTAGCCTTCAGTGGCACTACATACATGTATAATCATAAGGTATCAATAGGGTTCTGGTTTATTTTGCCAACATGATGGTTCATTTGCCATCTTTGTTTAATATTACTACAGTAATACTACAGTAATGCATTAAAAGGTGCATAGCATCTTGTGTAGGGTGATAAAAATTCCCCCTCCCAACTTTGCTTTGTCAACACTGGTCTTTTACAAGTGCAACATGGTCCCTTCCCTATCCATGAATGAAAACCTCTTGTGGTCTGGCGATAGGGAAGGTAGGGGAGAGTGGGGAGGGCATGGTTTAAGGCCCCAAAGTGGGGTGGTTAGAAAGGAATTGTTGTTGTTGTTGTTGTGTGCCTCCTGGTCCTTTTTGACTTACGGCAACTCTAAGGCAAACCTATCATAGAGTTTTCTTGGCAGATTTCTTCAGAGGGGGTTTGCGATAGCCATCCTATGCCCTCACATTAAAAAAAATAAAAATAAAAAAAGCAACCAATGCTATTGTTGATAGCATTGCATCATGGAAATAAAGGGCACGTCCCAAGAAGAAGGTCTCACAGCAATCTGGAGAGGAAATGAGGAACACAACAGTACAAGGTGATATGAGAAGCAAATATATATTGGAACAATGTTGAATGCAACACTTAAAAGACACTTGTCTGAATTCAACCTCTCTGTGTCTTTTGACCTCTGTTCAGGCGTTTGCTTGAACTCACAGAGATGAACTTATAGAACCCAGCAGGCTTGCAGCCACTTTCTTTAAGAGTATTCAAACCAGAGCTTGGAAAAGTCAGTTTTGGACCATAGTTCCCTGAATCTCCTTGCTGGGGTATTCTTGTAGTCCAAAACATAGCTTTTACAAACTGATTCAGTGTGTGATTTTGGTGGGTGCAAGAAATCTTTTGACTAATTATGGTCTCTGACTGCATGTCAAGAACGTATTTGCATGTAGTTTAATGCACACAGGTGCTTTCCATCCTTATGCCAAATGTAGAGAGGAGGAGGGAAGAGGAGCACCTGTGATCTTACTCTTTCTTCTATGGCACCAGCAGGCCACCCAATGCCTTCCAGATGTTTTGGACTGCAACTCACTTAATCCTTTACCATTGCCTATGCTGGCTGGGATATGTGGGAGTTGCCATCTGAAATGTTTGGAGGGTGCCAATTTACTCAGTGAAATGTCTGAATATTTCTTCTGACTAATTTTAGCAGTGCGCCTTGACCTATCAACAGTAGCATATAGATCACCAGCAATAGCAATAGCAGATATATTTCTATACCACTTACTGGTGTACTGAGCTATTTACAAAGTGTAAGCTAATTGCCCCTAACAAACTGGGTACTCATTTTAGCAACCTACAGAAAGATGCCAGGCTGAGTCGACCCAGAGCCCCTGGCTGATATTGAACTCACAACCTTGTGGTTTATTTTTCTTTCTCTTCCTCTCTCCTAAACAGTCTACCTTTGCTTGCATATCACTATTCCCTTGTGGTTTGTGAGTGAGTGGCTGCAGTACAGGCATTTAATGACTGCGCCACCAAAGCCATCAGCATCCCTCAATATTTCAGACAGTGCATTCCTATGTCAGTAGACCTAAGCAAGGAAAATAATGCAGATTATTGATTTGAACCATTCAGGTGCTGTCTTTATGTTGCTCACATTCCCTGAATGAATCAAACCAGGAAATGAGAGTCAAATCAGGGAATTTCAGGGGCTTGCATGTTTGAGCATTCAATATATCATGTATTAATTTTGTTAAAATAAACAGGGTTTTTTATCCATGTAAATACCCTATGCACAAGGCCATCATAAATTGACAGGTGATGTGAAGATATACCCACACAAAAATAATGTGAAAATCTGTGCACCCTGGCTCAAGTCATTTGTGGACCAGGCTGTAGGTTGATCTGTGTGGCAAACCATCCTAAATTAAACCATGCAAGAAAGACACCAGGCTAAAGTGTCTGTTGAAGGAGGCGTTTGTAGGTGAAACAGGCTGTGTACTTAATCTGACCCAATGAGTACAGTGTGCCTACGATGCACTGCCAATAAAACCAATGTTGTTAACCCAAGGGAACAGTGATATGCGAGCAAAGGTAGACTGTTTAGGAGAGAGGAACAGAAAGGAAAATAAACGGCTTCTGAATGAAGGCAAAGCCCATCTGACAACAAGGCATCTTTTTTAAAAAAACAACAACAGAAAATACATTGTTGGGCTATGTCTAGACAAGGATCCCTAGAACAGAACACAGAGTACTATATGAAGTCGTAGGCTTTCATGGCCGGCATCCATAGGTTTTTGTGGGTTTTTCAGGCTGTGTGGCCATGTTCTAGAAGAGCTTCTTTCTGAAGATGCCAGCCACAGATGCTGGCGAAACGTCAGAAAGAAACTCTTCTAGAACATGGCCACACAGCCCGAAAAACCCACAAAAACCTACAGAGTACTATAGATTGTCATGGAGAGAGCTTGGATGTGAACTGAGATCTGAGGAAGAAGAGAACATCTTTCAGCTCACAGGATTTAACCAGAGGTTGAAAAATTATTATTATTATTATTATTATTATTATTATTATTATTATTATTATTATTATTATTATTGAATTGCAACTCCCAGAATCATCCAGCCAGCTCAGCCACTAGTAATGCTTACTGAAGGGATTCTGGGAGTTGCAATCTAAAATGAATGATTTCCAAGCCCTAGATTTAGATTTCAATTATAGCTGTGCATCCCTCCCCAACCCAGGGCCCATCGGGTATGTCAGAATGCCATACCCATCATGCTCAGCCAGCAGCACCATTGCAATGGCTAGAGAGGAACATGGACTAGGTTAGGATGCAAAGCAGTCACTGCTACACCTCTGCAGGAGCATCACCTGTAGGATGATGCTAGCATGTTAGTGATTCTGAAGCTTTGTCACAGTGTGTCTGCCACTGTACCATACAACTATGCGTTTAAAAAGGACAAGGATGAGAGTTCTTTTATGAACTCTTCAGCAGTAACCTTCCCTCGAAATATTGAGCAAGAGTCATCTTCCGCTTATCACTGTAACACTTGCAACTGTCTGTTCCTTAGGGATCTTTTTAATCAGGAGTGGGAACTGTATGGTCTTAAAATGGACTGGAGCTTGGAAAAATTTACTTTTTTTCAATTGAAGTTCCCAGAAGAACATGACTAAATATTCAGATGTAATGTAACTACAGGAAGGGGGCAAAATTAAACCAGTGCCCCCCGATTAAGAATTCTGCCTTCACATGAAATTTTCCTCCAGTCCGCAAATTTCTAGTACTTCAGTAATTTAAAACTTCAATTGAAAATTTAGAAATACAATTAATCATTCTGGATGCTCCCTATAAAAGTTTTATTATTGTTGTGTGCCTTCAAGTCATTTCCGACTTACGGTGACCCTAATCATGGGGTTTTCTTGGCAAATTTTATTCAGAGGAGGTTTACCATTGCTTTGCCCTGAGGCTGAAAGAGCAGGTGACTTGCCAAAGATCACTCAATGGGATTCATGGCCAAACGAGGAATCGAACCCTGATCTCCAGAGTCTCAGTCCAACACTCAAACCACTATGCCATGCTGTATAGGGACTGAAGGAAAAGTGCATGTGGAGGAGAATAATTTTACATCCATTGAGCTCAAATATCCTCCTCTGCAGCAATGCATAGTACCCACTCGACCCCCAAAGTAAATGCTTTCTCCTGAGTTTCTTGTTCTCAAAACTATTTGGCTGCATCACCATGATATTCCCCATTTCTATTTGTTAATAGGTAAGCATGATTCCTACCAATGACACATCAGCAGCCTCAAAAATATAGGGTAAGACTTTCCAGGAGAGCAGACCCTTACCTTCTGAGTGTGCTATTGGTGAAAGTGAGAGAATGGGATTGTGTCACCATAACGTAATGTAAAGTATTTATGTGGGGCCTCCAACAAAATGGGCAGGACTCAGGCCTGGATCTAGAATCCAGAAATGCCACTTATTTTTTTCTATCATAAGCCAATAGTCATTGTACCACACCCATGAGCATGTCCAGTGCTCAATGAGTTACTATGGGTTTCCCATGTTTTGGGATGTGAGCAGGTATCTTGTGGTCTGCTTGCAGCTCTCTGGGTTGCTTTCTGCACTCTAAGCCCCTTGTTACCCCAGATGTGCCCCCCACACCAAAAAATGACTTCAAAATTATCACTTCAAGTCCTTGAACCCTCCAGGAGTATGACACCTTGTAAAAAAGAAAATACAGCACCAACACACCACCTTACTCCCTCCAACTCCTTCAAAGATAAGTTTTAGAAAAACAGAAATGGACTTTTGGCCACTTCCAGTTTCATATTTTTCATGATGGAGGCAGTACTTAGGGCAACCTGTGGTGAATCCCTATATAACAGTGATGGCAAACCTTTTAGAGACCAAGTGCCCAAACTGCAACCCAAAGCTCACTTATTTATTGCAAAGTGCCGCATCCCTCTGGCTCTCTAGTAATGAACCCTAGAGAACTCTATGCTGGAGTGACGACACACATGCCCACAGAGAGGACTCTGAGTGCACCCTCTGGCATGCGTGCCATAGGTTCGCCACCACTGATATATAATATAGCAGCTTCTTCTACATGGCTTCTCCTTCTCCGAGTCTTGAAGTTCCTCAGCATACATTCATAACTTCCTGCTTCCTGCATAGGTAGAGCAGGAGTTTGGACTAGATCAGCTTTGGTGTATTTCCAACTCTCAAATACTATGGTTCTAAAACTCCTTTTGGGGCAACATAAGCCAGTGGACCCAGAGCAAGAATATTTGAAACCAAGAGAACAAATGCAGCCTTGCAGCAATATGATGAAGGAAAGAGCTGTGCTGCTACTGGACTGGTGTAGGACGTTCAGGTAGGTACCTGGCAAGTTTCCAGAAAAGAAAGAAACAAGTGTACCCAATGGACATAAATATAGTTCTGGTCCCTGGCACATGGAGGGGGGGATAATTGCCAGTCCCCTACATCAGATAGGTTAAGTAGCACTGATGTAGAGTGCCTCCATTTACGTTCAAGCCCATTAATTCTATTCCCTTTCCTGAAATCCTGGATTATAATTTTTTGTGGCTCCTTCCAACCAGCAACACATACCTACTGAGTATGTCCAGTTCTACTGAGCTGTTTTTTTTGTGTGTAGATATAGGAATATCCAGTCCTAACTACTTTAAACTTTTAATTCTCCCTTGATTTCTATGGATAGCTCTCACTTTTGTCTCAGAGGTCATTTAAAAATAGTTTCTCAGTGTGAAGCAGGAAATGACAATGCAGTATTTCTCACTACCCTTTTAATATCTATGTACCTTTTCCTCCAGGACATTCCATTCCATTTCCTTCTTGTCTGGTTTTCATTTTTAATTATTTTCAATATTCAGAGCACATCTACACAATACAGTTATAGCAGTTTGATACCACTTTGACTGTCATGGATCCTCCATAGGATGTGTAGTTTGATGAGATATTTAAAATGAACTGCTAGTGAGCTTTAATGCTTTAATTCACATAATTTAACTCTCCATGTATTCTTTTATCTATATTATGACTATGATGGCAATGATTTTACAGTTATATTCCATTTTTCTGCCAATATGCTCTAGGATATGAACATTTCTGTTTTACAATGGCGCCAATGGAGACATTTAAAACTATTTTATTTAATCAACATACAGGGTGGAAAGGTGTGGATTACAGAAAAGTGTAGTCAGTTTAAAGAGTGTTTAGAAGAAATTCACAACTCCTGCCTCCTTGCACAGTAGTTCTGACATGGATCATTGATCCCCATGCATGTGAAAAGGAAGGAGGGAGCAGCTATGTATGTTGTTCATTCCTAAGCTATACTTTACCACCATGATTACGATGATGACCATCCTATTTTATCCTCACAACCACCTATTGAGCAAGTTCAGGCTGAGAGAGCATGACTGGGGCAAGGTCAGCCAACAACTTTGATCACACCTTGAGGAGCTAAGGCAGGATCTCCTAAATCCCAGTCCATCATTCTAATCAATCCACCTATCTATTGATGGTCTATCTACTTATAGCTATCAGAGATCCATGGCCTCTGGGATTCATTAGATAATTTGCCATGTTTCTTTAACAAATATTTTTCATATAGATTCTCCAGCCCATCCATTATTTTACACCTGGCTGTGACCTGTGAACCTTCCAGGAAAAAGCAAAGAAGATCCCACAACCCCTAAGATTGGCTCACTTCAGCCACATGCCATGTAAAGCACCTATTCTGCAAAACACTTGCCGATGAGGTAGGAGATGCAGAACAGCTGTTGTTTTATGTCTACAGAGGCCTTTTCACACTACAGAATTATAGTGCTATGATTCCACTTTAACTGCCTTTGTTCCAACCTTTGGAATCCTGGGATTTGCAGTTTAGGGAGGGGTACTTAGAAATTTCAGCCCGAGCACTCTCGCACCTCACCAAAATACAAACCCTAGGACTACAAAGGATGTAATGGCTGATAAAGTGGAATCCCAGAGCCATATATTTCAGGAGACCTTGTTTCCTTGAATGCTCTTCTCCTTGAGGAATGGTTGATTAATGTCCAAGAACTCCAGGGACATTGCTACCATTGAAATGAGAAGGGTATTGTCTCTGAGCCTCCAACCAATGGAATTCTCCTTCACATTCCCAGACAAGATCACAAAGGCATAGAAGCACAGAATCATCGAGTTGGAAGAGACCTCAAGAGCCATCAACTCCAACCCCATGCCATGCAGGAATACACAATCAAATCACCCCTGACAGATAACAAATAACAGCAGTAGTGGCCAATCTAAGGACTTTTTAGGTGACAACTCCCATCACATAACCGACATCATCATGCAGGATGGTGGATTCTGAAAGTTGCCATTCATAAAAAGTAACTTTCCCAAGGTGTGATTTTCATCTAGCACACATTTGAAAAGCCACGAGAGCTCATTTTATTCATTGCAAGCTGTATTAAGGCAAAATAATAATAATAAATCTCTTCCACTTTTGCAGATTAATGACTTCAGAACTTCCTGTCAAATGTGTTCTGTGGATATCTCAGAAAGCACTTCCCTTCACAATTCTGCAGAAAACTGTTGCTTTCAGGGCTTCCTAGAATATGAATTATTGCTTGATGTTGTTTGTCCCTTCAGTCTACTGTTATGTCTGCACAAACAGAGGATGGGCAGTGTCCTTTATAGACACTTTCCCCCAGAAAAAAACTTCATTCAAAAACAAAGACAGGCAGGATGTCTTTACAGCAGGAATGGAGAACCCATGACTCTTATTGCTGGGCTTCATTTCCCATCAGGCCCAGCCAGTCTAGACAATGGTGGGGGATGTTGGGAGTTGGAGTGGATCATCATCTGGGGAAGCCACAGTTCTTAATCCCTGCTTTCCTGTAGCTTTTTGTCCTAATCATAAACCTTATCAGATGATAACCTGCTTTTTATATGCAGGGCTACAAATGCACGAGTCATAAATTTCAATAGAACCTGAAGGCAGTAATTCTGAAGATGATTCTACACTAGAGGATTTGTAGATAGGTTTAATTCTCCATCCCACCAAGTTTCTTACTGAAACCATTGTTATCAAGAGGTTCAAACTATTTTTCTTGGGCACCATCTACAGAACTGATCTGAAGGAGGTACTGAGGTCTATCAATTACGGGAGCGGTAATCCAAAATAGCTTTTCCCAGCTCTTGCCCTTGCTCTCTTAGTTCTAGACTATCTAAAAGATCTATCACCTTATATGAACCTGTCTATGTCTTAAGATCCTTGGAGAAGGGCTTTCTCTTGATCCTAATTTTGTCACAGACTCATCTGGTGAGGATACAAAAGGCAGTCTTCTTAGTGGCACTCCCAAGATGTGGAATTCCCTCCCATGGAAGACTAGGCTGGGCCCATCTCTGTTTTCCTTACCCAACAAGTAAAGACTTTTTTCTTTAGATAAGGTTCTGGTGATAAACTGGCTGTGCTGAAGGGACTTTTAATGGCGTATGTGTGATGTACTTTTATCCAGATTGTCATGTTTTCAAATAATTTTATATTGTTTTAAATTATTGGTGTTTCAATATAATATCTTATTAATTTCTTTTTAAACTTTTAATTTCGGGGGTGGGTGGGTCCCATGTCAGGACCACAGATGATTTACATAATTTTAAAGTAGATGGTGGAGACAATGAAATAGTTAAAGGATTTTTTGTGGGTTTTTTCGGGCTGTGTGGCTATGTTCTAGAAGAGTTTCTTTCTGACCATACCTTGGCTCATTCGTTAATCAGAATGGAGACTTCAGTCAAGAAATCAGAAGAAGACTAGGACTTAAAAGAGCAACTATGAAAGAATTAGACAGGCTTAGTTTTTTGTGGGTTTTTCGGGCTGTGTGGCCATGTTCTAGAAGAACTCTTCTAGGACATGGCCACACAGCCCGAAAAACTCACAAAAAACTATGGATGCTGGCCATGAAAGCCTACGACTTCAAATTAGACAGGGTCTTCAAGTGTAAAGATATATCATTAAATACCAAAATCAGGATTGTCCATGACACCATATTTCCAATTTCTATATATGATTGTGAA